TCTTTGTTTCTTTGTTTTTCGGGACTGCTTCTTCGTTTGTTTGTCTGTTTGCTGGTTTGTGTGTATGTTTGTTTGCGTTTTTGTTTGCTGGTTGGTTGGTTTAATTGTTTGATTGCTTGTTTGTTTTCGTGTACTACTTGCTTGTGTGCGTGTCGTGTCTTTGCCTGTTTGTCTGTTTGTTTGTTTGCTTGTTTGCTTGTTTGCTTGTTTGCTTGTTTGCTTGTTTGCTTGTTTGCTTGTTTGCTTGTTTGCTTGTTTGCTTGCTTGCTTGCTTGCTTGCTTGCTTGCTTGCTTGCTTGCTTGCTTGTTTTGCGTTTCGTGTTTGTTTTGTGTGTTGTTGGTTTGTTTTGTTTTGTTTCGTTTTATTTGTTTGTTGGTTGGTTGGCTGGCTGGCTGGCTGGCTTGCTTGCTTGCTCGCTTGCTTGTTTCTTGGTTTTATTGGTGCTCTTGTCTGTTGGTTTGTTTGTTTGCTTTCTTGTTTGATGGTTTGTGTGGTTTTTTGTTTCCATGCTTCTTTGCTTGTTTGATTGTTTGATTGTTTGATTGCTTGTTTGTTTGTTTGTGCATTACTTTGCTTGGTTGTTTTGTTTGTTTGTGTATTTGTTTGTTTGTGTATTTGTTTGTTGGTTTGTTTGTTTGGTTGTTTTGTTGGTTCGCTTGTTTGTGTGTTGGTTTGTTTGCTTGTGCGTCTGTTTGTCTGTTTGTCTGTTTGTTTCATTGTTGGGTTGTTTCTTTGTTTGTGTGTTTATGTTTGTTTGCTTCTCTATGTTTGTTTGTTTGTTTGTTTGTGTGTTTGTTTGTTTGTTTGTTTGTTTGTTTGTTTGTTTGTTTGTTTTTTTGTTTGTGTATTTGTTTGTTTGTTTGTTTGTTTGTTTGTTTATCTTTGTTTGCTTGGTATTGTTTGTGTTGTGTTGTGTTTTGTGTTGTTTTCTGTGTTTTGTTGTTTCTGTGTGTGTGTGTGTTTCCAACTGTGTTTCGTTTGTCGGTTGTTTCTGCATTAGTTCGTTTGTTTTTGTGTTTTGCTTGCTTGCTTGCTTGCTTGCTTGCTTGCTTGCTTGCTTGCTTGCTTGCTTGCTTGCTTGCTTGCTTGCTTGCTTGCTTGCTTGCTTGCTTGCTTGCTTGGTTTCTCGTTTGCTGACGCAGGCGTGATCTGGACGAATGATATTGAGAGGTGCACCTCTTAGCATGTTGCGTGATGTTTTTGAGACTTTGCCTTTCAATCTTGCTCTGTGCCGTAGAAGCTATGTTTCATATTCGCAGAGATACGCACTGAACTTGCTTACTGTCTTGGCCCCCACTTGTTCCGGGACGCGTCTACATTTTCCAGCCCATTCCCTTTGAACAAGTAAACATGCCGCCATGGAACACTCAAGGCAGGCTGGTGTCTTAGACGCAGAAGGTTCGGTTGCGAACTGACATGTGGTGTGAATTGTGACACCTTCATAGGGAAAGACACCAGCCCAAACAGGGCTGAGACAATCCATGGCCTAGGCACAGCTGTCCACCCCGTCAGTGCCTGCTCTGGCAGACGCCTGTGCTGCATGTGCTGCCTCTCCCATCTTGCTGCCTTTGCTGGCGCGGGAGCCGGGGCCGAGCTCGGAGATCGCGGGTGCGTTGCACATCTCCCACACTTTTCGACATGTATAGTGAGCTTGGTGATCAATCGCGTGAGAGGCTCTTTGGCGATGCTGCAGAATGTTTGCGAGTCAAACTCATTTCTTCTGGGATATGTTTTTTGTGCGGGGTCCTCCTGTCAACTTGTTTGCAATATTGCTTCCCGCTTATTTCATTGGCATGTCGCAGCTGGAAGCCTATGCTAGGCTGTTCCCCTGTTGCAAAGGCCGCGCATCACCCAGCATGATCTATGCATCCAGTTCCTAAGAATCTGTGTGCACTTTTGTTCACTGCGCATGCAGAGATGCTCGTGAGAGAGTTTGTTTTCCTGCCGTTTAAGGTCAACTCCCGAAACAGCTTGGAATCAAAGCTCAACGCGCTGCTCAGACACGGCCAGGCAGAGACCTCCAGAACTGCGGCGTCTTCGCTCGAGAGTATTCGGGCTTGCAAAGATGCGCTGTGTGTGTGTGCGCGTGTGGCAGCCAGCTGCTTTCCTCCGAAAGCATCCGGGCGTCATGTTTGTTTTTTGCATTCTGAGACCCTGCATGACTGATGTCCCGCTATTGTCGGAAGAGTTGAGCTTCCAACAACGGATTATAGAGTTGGCCCTCACATGAGCCAGGCCAGGCGTCGTGTGGAGCCTGTAGAGCTAGCAAATTGACAAGTTCCAAGCATGGGACTGCACACAAGTAGGCGGACTCCGCAGCCCAAGCCTTGTAAATGGCTCAAGAGCTGGGGCGAAGCCTTCGCTCATGAAGCTTAGGCTCAAGGCAAGGCATGCTCAATCACCAGGTTTTGGCCAAGCAAGCACTGGGCAACACAGGGCCTGCCACCTTGCCTCTTGACATGTAGCTCTTTGCGGTGCGGCCTTTGCTTTTGTTTCGCAGACATTCAGCCATCACCCCAAGCCAAACTAACGCTTCAGAGTTGCCCCGGGCTTTCGGGCAAGAGATGCGGCCAGAGCAAATGGACAGCTCCTTTCTGGGCCCAGCATCTGCCTCAGCACGCGGACGAAAAGGCAACCGGTGCAAAGGGACCTGCGCGTTTTCATTCTTGTTGCTGCTGCTGCTGCTTCTGCTGCTGTTGCTGTTGCTTCTGCCCTCCAGTAGTTTTACAACGCCACCTACTTTTTCAGGGTCAGCAGTTTCAAGTGTAAGACCGGTGAGATCCATCTGACAAGCTGGGTCCAGTGGGTTTGAGACAACAAATGCGTCCCACAGCGCCCGATTCGAGGCGTTACTCTGTTTCTGATAAGGGGAAGTTGACCGAGTCCGAACGCGCACGACCCCAAACAGATCCCAAGCCAATCTAGATGCACTTGTCGCGGTTTCCGAAGCCCAAGAAATGCAACACCACAGGTTGCATGGAGCATTTCCCCGTTTGCTGAACCCATGGGGCCGGCAGCATTTAGAAGACAACTAGCAGCAATCATGCCAAGGTGCTTCAGATGGAGGTGCCGCAGCCAAAGCAGAAGTCGGCCTGGAGGTACATCCAGAACTGCTGAGCTGGGGGCGCAAATGCGTGATTTTTGGAGAGCCATTGCAGAGTGTCTTCTTTATCATCTTTGTTTGATAATGTTCTTGTTAGGGTTTTGTTGTAAAGTGAGACCGTTGCCACTTTAGGAGTTCCCCTCATTTGAGACAAACCTATTCAGGCGTCCATTCTTGACAACAAGGGCTTACACCCAGTGGTTCACTTCCCCAAAAGGAGGACCTCCGTTCAAGTCTTGGGGGTAGTCCAAAAATGGAATTCCGAACCCATGAACTGAGCAGTCTTTGGTCCTCCGCCAGGCCTGTGGTGCTGCTCAGCCGCAAGCCCTCCGAGCCGAAACACCTTCCAAGCCCTGAACGAGGTGAGGGCTCAGCATCTGATTGGTGTGGGCCTTCTTTTTTTTTGAGGCTACCCTTCTTGAAACCCACCCATTTCCGGAGTAGCTTGAACGTTGAGCTTGCGACCTGAGACTATCCCCTGAACCCCCAAACCTACCGTGCCTTGGCAGCCTTGCGCAGTCCCTCAGTCGGTCAAGCAGCCGTGCCTGCGCCTAGAGCAAATCTAACCCTACTATCTTGCTCCATCCGAGAAAAAGAAGAGACAAACAACGACAAGAAACCTGATGCAAGCAAGTTTCTCCACTTTCACTCTCACTCACCTTCACTCACCCTACTCACCCTACTCACCCTCACTCAGCCAGAAAGTGCGCAAAAGCCATCCTTAATTCCCGACAGGCCGGCAGCTGTCCTTGGGAGATCTTTGTGAGGCTGGGCTTCGTTTGCCGCTTAAAGTCTGGCTTTGGTGCATCTGGACAAATTCACATATACAGGGTTTTGTTGTTCAATCCCTGTTGGCATGGTGAAACAAACTGCAATTCTCAGTTTTAGGGTCTTGTCATGAGGTGGGCTGTGACAATTCAGGAGACAAAAGGTTTTTGTATCGAAAAGGGCTGCATCGCTCCCGCTCTCTGTCTTTCGCATTCTGTTTCCATCTCTGTTTCTCAACATGGGGACCTGCGGCCATTACTCTCTGCAAGTCTTTCCGGTCTGTCTTGACCTTTACACAGCTTACCTTTCTCTTCACTCCTCAGATTCGTGTCTGGCTCTTGTGCCAATGGCTTACCACAGCCATGGTCAAGTCCTGCCGCAGCAAATGGCCATGGTACCTTGATCCTTTGTTCCCACCTCGCGGCGCACAGCACACATTCTTGAGCTGCCCTTTGACTCCCGTGCAAGAGCCAGGTGCACAAAGGTCCGGGCCTTCCAAGAGGCCTTGTGCGACAGTCCCGTGTGGGTGCCAAGTCGGGCCACGGAGCTGCGCATGTTTTCTGAGTGCTGCTTGCAACCAGGTCTGAGCCGCTTCCGGTCGGAGAGCCCTGCTGGAAATCAGGCCGGATAGCGCTGGACATTTGTTGGTGTCAGTCTTGCTCCAAGACTGATCAGTTGTGCCTATGTTGACGATAGTGTAGCACAAGCTCCAGCATGGTTGGCAATCAGGGAAATCTGTTTCCAACATTTGGCAGATGTTCCACATTCGCCAGATGAACTCAACCAGCCCCGTTTGCCTCACCTGCTGTCATGGCACTGAGGCGAGAGTCCTGATGTCCGAGGACGCTGAGACCTGAGATACGATTTAGCCGTCAAAGAGTTGGAGAAGGACAACAGAATGCATTCAAGTAGCTAAGTGGCAAGCGCTAGCAAGAATTGCAGTTGGCCCCGCGTGAGCCAATCGCTGATAGCCTCGTAGCCAGCGTGGCTCGAGTGTGGTAAGTGCTTGGGGCGAGAGAGTTTGGACCTTTCAGAAGCATTTGCCAGGCCTGTCTCCCCTGCCTCCAATAGACGGGTGCGTCTGGCAGGTCGGCCCCATCTTTGGGCTCAAGGAGTCGCCCAAGGTGGGAAACAAATCGCCTGGCTGCTTGCTGTCTCTCTTCTCTTTCTTCTCTCGATTGTCTCTCTTCTCTCTCTTTCCTCTCTTCGCTCGCTCTCTTCTCTCTCTTTCCTCTCTTCCCTCTCTTCTCTCTCTTCTCTCTCTTCTCTTTCTTCCCTCTCTTCTCTGTCTTCTCTCTCTTCTCTCTCTTCTCTCTCTTCTCTCTCTTCTCTCTCTTCTCTCTCTTCTCTCTCTTCTTTCTCTTCTCTCTCTTCTCTCTCCTCTCTCTTCTCTCACTCTTCTCTCTTTGCTCTCTCTCTCTCTCTCTCTCTCTCTCTTCTCTCGCTTGTCTCTCTTCTCTTTCTTGTCTCTCTTCGCTCTCTTCTCTCTCTTTCCTCTCTTCCCTCTTTTTTCTCTCTTCTCTCTCTTCTCTTTCTTCTCTCTCTTCTTTGTCTTCTCTCTCTTCCCTCTCTTCTCTCTCTTTTTTCTCTTTTTTCTCTTCTCTCTCTTCTCTCTCTTCTCTCTCTTCTCTTTCTTCTCTCTCTTCTTTGTCTTCTCTCTCTTCCCTCTCTTCTCTCTCTTTTTTCTCTTTTTTCTCTTCTCTCTCTTCTCTCTCTTCTCTCTCTTCTCTCTCTTCTCTCTCTCCTCTTTCTTCTCTCTCTACTCTGTCTTCTCTCTCTTCCCTCTCTTCTCTCTCTTCTCTCTCGTCTCTCTTTGCTCTCTCTTCTCTCGCTTGTCTCTCTTCGCTCTCTTCTCTCTCGTCTCTCTTTGCTCTCTCTCTTCTCTCGCTTGTCTCTCTTCGCTCTCTTCTCTCTCTTTCCTTTCTTCTCTCTCTTCTCTCGATTGTCTCTCTTCTCTCTCTTCTCTCTCTCTTCTCTCGCTTCTCTCTCTTTTCTCTCTCCTCTCTCTTCTCTCGATTGGCTCTTTGCTCTGAGTTGTCGCTCTTCTCTCTCTTTTTTCTCTTTTCTCTCTCTCTCTTCTCTCTCTTCTCTCTCTTTTTTCTATGCTCTCTCTCTCTCTTTTCTTGTTCTCGCTCTCTCTCTCTCTCTCTCTCTTCTCTCTCTTCTCTCTCTTCTCTCTTTTCTCTCCCTCTTCTCTCTCTTGTCTCTCGATTGCCTCTCTTCTCTCTATTCTTTTTTCTCTGTTCTCTCTCTTTTCTCTCTCCTCTCTCTTCTCTCTCTTTCCTCTCTTCCCTCTCTTCTCTCTCTTCTCTCTTCTCTTTCTTCCCTCTCTTCTCTGTCTTCTCTCTCTTCTCTCTCTTCTCTCTCTTCTCTCTCTTCTCTCTCTTCTTTCTCTTCTCTCTCTTCTCTCTCCACTCTCTTCTCTCACTCTTCTCTCTTTGCTCTCTCTCTCTCTCTCTTCTCTCGCTTGTCTCTCTTCTCTTTCTTGTCTCTCTTTGCTCTCTTCTCTCTCTTCTCTCTCTTCTCTTTCTTCTCTCTCTTCTCTGTCTTCTCTCTCTTCCCTCTCTTCTCTCTCTTCTCTCTCTTCTTTCTCTTCTCTCTCTTCTCTCTCTTCTCTCTCTCTTCTCTCTCTTCTCTCTCTTCTCTCTCTTCTCTCTCCTCTCTCTTCTCTCACTCTTCTCTCTTTGCTCTCTCTCTCTCTCTCTCTTCTCTCGCTTGTCTCTCTTCTCTTTCTTGTCTCTCTTCGCTCTCTTCTCTCTCTTTCCTCTCTTCCCTCTCTTCTCTCTCTTCTCTCTCTTCTCTTTCTTCTCTCTCTTCTCTGTCTTCTCTCTCTTCCCTCTCTTCTCTCTCTTCTCTCTCTTCTCTCTCTTCTCTCTTCTCTCTCTTCTCTCTCTTCTCTCGCTTCTCTCTCTTTTCTCTCTTCTCTCTCTTCTCTCGATTGGCTCTTTGCTCTGAGTTGTCGCTCTTCTCTCTCTTTTTTCTCTTTGCTCTCTCTCTCTCTCTCTCTTTTCTCTCTTCTCTCTCTTTTTTCTCTGCTCTCTCTCTCTCTTTTCTTTTTCTCGCTCTCTCTCTCTCTCTCTTCTCTCTCTTCTCTCTCTTCTCTGTCTTCTCTCTCTTCCCTCTCTTCTCTCTCTTCCCTCTCTTCTCTCTCTTCTCTCTCTTCTCTTTCTTCTCTCTCTTCTCTCGCTTGTCTTTCTTCGCTCTCTTCTCTCTCGTCTCTCTTTGCTCTCTCTTCTCTCGCTTGTCTCTCTTCGCTCTCTTCTCTCTCTTTCCTCTCTTCTCTCTCTCTCTTCTCTCGCTTGTCTCTCTTCGCTCTCTTCTCTCTCTTTCCTCTCTTCTCTCTCTTCTCTCTCTTCTCTCGATTGTCTCTCTTCTCTCTCTTCTCTCTCTTCTCTCGCTTCTCTCTCTTTTCTCTCTCCTCTCTCTTCTCTCGATTGGCTCTTTGCTCTGAGTTGTCTCTCTTCTCTCTCTTCTCTCTTTTCTCTCTCTCTCTCTTCTCTCTCTTCTTTCTCTTTTTTCTCTTCTCTCTCTTCTTTTTCTTCTATCTTTTCTCTCTCTTCTCTTTCTCTTCTCTGTCTTCTCTCTCTTCTCTCTCTTCTCTCTCTTCTCTCTCTTCTCTCTCTCTCTCTCTTCTATCGTCTGTCTTTTTTCTCTCTTTTCTCTCTCTCTCTCTCTCTCTCTCTTCTCTCTCTTCGTTCTCTTCTCTCTTTTCTTCTTCTCTCCTCTCTCTCTCTCTCTTGCTTCGTTTCTTCTCTCTCTCTCTCTGTCTTTTCTCTCTCTTATCTCTCTTCTCTCTCTTCTCTCTCTTCTCTCTCTTCTCTCTCTTCTCTCTCTTCTTCTCTCTCTTCTCTCTCTTCTCTCTCTTCTCTCTCTTCTCTCTCTTCTCTCTCTTCTCTCTTTTCTCTCTCTTCTCTCTCTTCTCTCTCATCTCTCTTTTCTATCTCTTCTTTCTCTTCTCTCTCTTTTCTCTCTCTCTCTCTCTCTTCTCTCTCTTCTCTCGCTTGTCTCTCTTCGCTCTCTTCTCTCTCTTTCCTCTCTTCCCTCTCTTCTCTCTCTTCTCTCGATTGTCTCTCTTCTCTCTCTTCTCTCTCTTCTCTCGCTTCTCTCTCTTTTCTCTCTTCTCTCTCTTCTCTCGATTGGCTCTTTGCTCTGAGTTGTCGCTCTTCTCTCTCTTTTTTCTCTTTGCTCTCTCTCTCTCTCTTTTCTCTCTTCTCTCTCTTTTTTCTCTGCTCTCTCTCTCTCTTTTCTTTTTCTCGCTCTCTCTCTCTCTCTCTTCTCTCTCTTCTCTCTTTTCTCTCCCTCTTCTCTCTCTTCTCTCTCGATTGCCTCTCTTCTCTCTCTCTCTTCTCTCTATTCTCTTCTCTCTGTTCTCTCTCTTTTCTCTCTCCTCTCTCTTCTCTCGATTGGCTCTTTGCTCTGAGTTGTCTCTTTTCTCTTTCTTGTCTCTTTTCTCTCTCTCTCTCTCTCTTCTCTCTCTTCTCTCTCTTTTTTCTTTTCTCTCTCTTCTGTCTCTTCTCTCTCTTCTCTCGCGTCTCTCTTTGCTTTCTTTTTTGTCGCTTGTCTCTCTTCGCTCTCTTCTCTCTCTTTCCTCTCTTCCCTCTCTTCTCTCTCTTCTCTCGATTGTCTCTCTTTTCTCTCTTCTCTCTCTTCTCTCGCTTCTCTCTCTTTTCTCTCTCCTCTCTCTTCTCTCGATTGGCTGTTTGCTCTGAGTTGTCTCTCTTCTCTCTCTTCTCTCTTTTCGCTCTCTCTCTCTTTTCTTTTTTCTCTCTCTTTTTTCTCTTCTCTCTTCTTTCTCTTCTATCTTTTCTCTCTCTTCTCTTTCTCTTCTCTGTCTTCTCTCTCTTCTCTCTCTTCTCTCTGTCGCTTTTTTCTCGATTGTCTGTCTTCTCTCTCTTCTCTCTCTCTCTCTCTCTTCTATCGTCTGTCTTTTTTCTCTCTTTTCTCCCTCTCTGTCTCTCTCTTCTCTCTCTTCGTTCTCTTCTCTCTTTTCTTCTTCTCTCCTCTCTCTCTCTCTCTTGCTTCGTTTCTTCTCTCTCTCTCTCTCTGTCTTTTCTCTCTCTTATCTCTCTTCTCTCTCTTCTCTCTCTTCTCTCTCTTCTCTCTCTTCTTCTCTGTCTTCTTTCTCTTCTCTCTCTTCTCTCTCTTCTCTCTCTTCTCTCTCTTCTCTTTCTCTTCACTTTCTCTTCTCTCTCTCGTCTCTCTTTGCTCTCTCTTCTCTCGCTTGTCTCTCTTCGCTCTCTCTCTCTCTTCTCTCTCTTCTCTCTCTTCTCTCTCTTCTCTCTCTTCTCTCTCTTCTCTCTCTTCTCTCTCTTCTCTCTCTTCTCTCTCTTCTCTCTCTTCTCTCTCTTCTCTCTCTTCTCTCTCTTGTCTCTCTTCTCTCTCTTCTCTCTCTTCTCTCTCTTCTCTCTCTTCTCTCTCCTCTCTTTTCTTCTCTCTCTTCTCTTTCTTCTCTCTCTTCTCTCTCTTCTCCGTCTTTTCTTTTCTCTGTCTCTTCTCGCTTTTCTTTCTCTTCTCCCTCTTCTCTGTCTTCTCTCTCTTCTCTCTCGATTGCCTCTTTTCTCTCTGTTCTCTCTTTTCTTTCTCTTCTCCCTCTTCTTTCTTTTATCTCTCTTCTCTCTCTTCGTTCTCTCTGGTCTCTCTCTTTTTTCTCTTCTCTCTCTTCTTTCTCTTCTCTTTTTCTCTCTTCTCTGACTTCTCTCTCCTCTCTTTCTTCTCTCTCCTCTCTCTCTCTCTCTCTCTCTCTCTCTTCTTTCTCTTTCCTCTCTTCTCTTCCTTTTTTCTTCTCTCTCTCACTCTCTCTCTCTCTCTCTCTCTCTCTCTCTCTCTTTCCCTTTTCTCTCTCTTTTCTCTCTTCTCGCTCTTCTCTTTGTTGTTTCTTTATCTCTCTCTCTCTCTCTCTTCGCTTCTCATGTTTTTTTCATTTATCTTTTGTCGTTCTTCCCTCTTCTTTCTCTATTGTCTGTTTGCTCTGTTTTCTCCAGCTTGTCTTTCTTCTCTTTCTTCTCTCTACTGTCTCTCTTCTCTCTCGTCTTCCTTCTCGTGTGTTTCTCTCTTTTTTGTTTTCTCTCTTTCTCTCTCTCTTCCCTCTCTTCTCTCTCGAGTGTCTCTTCTCTCTCTCTTTGTTCTCC